TGTGTGTGTGTGTGTGTGTGTGTGTGTGTGTGTGTGTGTGTGTGTGTCCTAGGGGAGGGCCACAGGGAGGAGGGCAAACTTCAAATTCCATTTAGTTTGGGTTGATCACCCAGCAAAATGTGAGGGCCTGTGTTTGGGATGCAAGACCGTGCCTTTGGGGCACCCCCTGGGAGTGTGAGGGATAGACAGGAAAAGGTTTTGTGCTCACCCTGACTGTGGTCCAACACGTCCAAGGGAGGAGGTTTGGAGGAGACTTGGGCAGAGCTAAGCACCGTCCTCCAGCAGGGCTCGTGGCCATGTTCCTGGGCTGCATGTCAGGGGCATGGTTGCCACTGGTTCCTCAGGGCAAGCTCCCACAAGGCGCCAGGGCTTTTGACAGGTGACTTTTCATGCCCTCCATTCCCTCCCCTCAGTTAGCAGGAGTCTGGGGCCTGCACAGGTCAGCTGGTCCACTGGGGACACAAGCCCTTGGCATCTAAGACAGTAACCCTTTTTCCTGAATTCAGCTTGGGTTCTTCCTCCACCCTGGGCTGATATCAAGGCCTTAACATTTGGATGGAAAGGTCTAGGTGTGGGCAGGGGGAGCCAGGACAGGGCCTCGGGAGGCCAGAGGGGCAAGGCAACTGGACAAGATGGAAACCCTGAGGCAAGCCTGCCGAGATCTAGATTTGAAATGCAGACACAATGTGTCCCAGACCCCCTGCTGCTCAAGGCTGCCATCTTAGCCACACCTGCCAGTGCAGAGGCCAGTTCCTCTCTCCATCTCATCCCTTCCTTGCCCTGCCCTGGCCTTACTTAGCACAGTGTGCAGATGGAGACCACAGCCTGCCCACTGAGAATCCCGTGGCCCTGGGGGAGGGGCCCAGATCTAAAGAAGAATGGCCTGCCCGACTCCTGGGGCATCTCTTCCCCCAGGTCCCAGCCTGTTGGGGGGGCGGAGGGGTTAGTTAGGCTGGGACCCCAGGAGCAGAGTCATGCGTGTGGTGCCACCCCAGCCCTCGAATTCTGACTTAGCCAGCCCTCCCTCTCTTCCTCCCTCCATCCATCTCTGCTCTGGGAGGAGGTTTTGTGGATACTGTACAGAAGGTGATTAAAAAAAACAACAACAAAAAAAGACACATATTCTCTTTGAAGAGGAATCCAAGAGTGCAGAGCCCCGCCCTCACGAGTGGTGGCTGTTGATAAGTCCTCGGAGCTGCTTGGCCACGGTGTCAATCAGTTTCTGCTTGTCTCGCTCATTCTTCCGAAACTGTGCAAACATATTGTTCTTACGGCTAGTGTCCTTCATCCTGGGTAGAGGGGAGGACAGAGGGCAGAGTCAGAGGGTGCCCTGAACAGCATCAGAAGGGTGGCAGAGGCGGGAGGGCTCCCCAAAGGCCCCCCCTGTGCCCTAGACTTGGCTCCCTGAGGAAACACCGCAGGAGCCCAATCTGAGGGTCCCCGTGGCAGGGCACACCTTCTTCCTCTCCTTGGTTTCTTTGTTTGGGTGGCTGTGCTTCCAACACTTGGGACGTGAGTCCTGGGGAAGGACTGGGGCTCAAACTTTCTGGGAACCTAGGTGGCGTCTTTAGAACCTGGATACAGGAGACAGGTCAGGGAAAGCCCAGTGACCTTGAACTCTCAACCACTAACCATGGTCTTGGAAGCAAGGACAAGAACCAGAGGGAATCTCAGAATATCCGTCCCCTTCCCCACACTATTGGTCAGATCAGTAAGCAGTAACCAGAGGGAGGGGTCTCCTTCCTTGGGAAGCAACTGGGTAGGGGGCAAGAAAGGATAGAAGGCAAAGTTATAGGGGGAGAATGAAAAGGAGGAAGAGGTGGAGGAGAAACCCAGGGTTACCCCACCCCTCTGTTCTATACTGCCCAGGGCTCTCACTGGGCAGCCCTTTCCAGTCTGCCTCTGCACTCAGGGCTGATGCCTCTGGGGACACTTTCATCATTAAATAAATTGTTCCTAACTTACGAGGATGGCATTTCACCTGGCACTGGGTTCCAGCATCCAACAGTGGGATGTGGTAGCCAAGAAGGGGAATGTGAGGATTGTGGGGTGGGCTTCAGGGCCCCTCCAGGTCTTGGTATTGAGGGCCTCTAGCAAAGTACAGCCTGGCCTGGGGGGGGGGTCTCACTGAAGGCTCAGACAAAGCTCTAGGGCCACGGGAGCTTGGAATACTCATCCCCCTCCTAGACCTTAGCCTGAGCTAGCCGAGGAGGCTGGCCCATGGGGTCTGAGCAGAGATGAGGCAAGGCAGACACGTGTCCCGAGGGGCACTTTCCCTGCTCCCTACCAATCGTGAGCACTGAACTGAGTGACGTCTTTCACCCCAACTCTTCTTCTTGTCCCTTTTCTCTGAGCTGGCTACAGGCGCAGAGGGTCTCTGGTCAGATGAATGCGCATGCATAAGAACATGTGTGCATACATGTCTATTTTAGGGAGTGTCTGGGTCCAGCCATGTGCATGCACGCACGTGCGTGTGGTGCACTGGTCTGGGTGAGGGTGCACCTCAGAAAAGGTGGAGGACGCTGGTGGAAGATGGAAAGAAAACACCAACATGTCCTCTCCGGGACCATGAGGTTGCTGGGCCCAGGCTGCTACCCCAGAGGAGGCTGCCCTTCCCTTACTGCACATGGCCTACAGACAAAGAAGCCCACTTCCTCTTCAGAGTGCTTTCCTTCAGACGGCCCTAGCAGAGGCAAACCAGCGGTGCTAGCCCTGATGTGGAGCCCTGATGCTTGGGGCTGGAGAGGCTCGTCTAGCCCCGAGGTGGGGTCGGGGCCGGGGCTCCCAGGAGGCCCTTTCTTGGGCTCTTTGGAGCGAAGCTGCTCCTGGCTTAGTCATGGTCATGATGTCTGGATTCCAAGGTTTGGCTCTGGAGAAAGACGGTCGAGTTGGATCCTGAGCCTCTGGGCCAGCAGTCTCTGCAGCTCCTCTGGGTGGGGTCTGACTAGACTGTTTTTGGAGGGGAGGGAGGTGGGAAGTGACTTGTGACACGAAGGCGTATGCATGTGTGTGTGTGAGCACGCGTGCCCATGTGTGTGTGTGTACGTGGGTGCACGTGTGTGTGCGTGCAGAAGCTTCCACCGTGGAAACGCTTCAGGAGGCCCCACAGGACCCTCTCCTGGGGAGGGATTGCCTTGGACTGAGAAGCAGCTCACCCCCAAGGATCTAATCGCTCAACTCTCCAGGCAGTGAGTGACCCCTCTCTTGCACGTGGTCAGACAGCAGTGAGGGACTCGTTTCCCAAGACGCCAGCATTTAGAGCTGGACGGGGTAGTGGAGATCACCTAGCCCAACTGCTTTATCTACCAAGGAGGACACTGAGGAGCAGACAGGGTCAGTGACTGAGGTGACCAGCAGCAGGGAGCTTCTGAAGCCGGGTCCTCTCACTCCCAATCCTGAGGTCTTTCCATTGCACTGGGCAATATCAATTCTAATGAGGCTGGGGGATTCTCTGGGAGTGTCAAGAGCCCTGCTGCCCACGGAGGGAGGCTTCAGTCAATCAATTCAGCTTGAGGGTTTCAGGGCCTCGGACAGTAGGTGGCACAGTGGGTGCAATGCTGGGCCTGCAGTCAGGAAGAGCTGAGTTCAAATCTGGCTGCAGACACTCACTGGCTGTGTGACTCCGGGGATGTCAGTTGACCTCTGTTGACCTCAGTTTCCTGAGATGGAGGCAACAATAGCATCCACCTGGCAGGGTTGCTGAGATAACATTTGTTAAGCGCTCAGCAAACCTTAAGGGGCTCTATAAATGTGATCGCCATCATCTTCATGGTCATTATTATTCCAGGTGACTCCAGGTCACCAGGCGGGGGTCTCAGGACAGGTCAGCAGCCCGTACTGCTTTCTCATGACCAGCTCAAGGTTGGGGGGCTGCTCTGGGGTCCTCACTCCTCAGAGGTCCGTCAGGAGCTGCTCCCACCAAGGAAAGCTTTCCCTCAGAGGGCCCAGTTTCATATCTCAGAGTCCCTTGTTCCCTGAGCAGCCCCCAGGAGGAGGGAAGACGGTCATAAGAAGGAAGAGCGGTGCAGAAGTGGCTGGCCAATCAGTGCCTGGACAGCTCAGGGGATTAGTACCTCAGCGTGGACTGAGAGGCTTCCCAGTGAGGTCATTAAGGGAAAGGAAGAAAGCAAGAAGCCTCGGTGCCAGGGAGAGGATGCAGGCCCAGCTGCCTCTACTTATTCTCTGGATATTCTAGGTGAGGGAAGAACCACAAAGACACCGTTACAACGGCAAGGAGGCAGGGCAGCTCTCCCCTCCGGTCAGCAGAGCCTGACCGGGCCTGACCAAAGAGCCCAAAGCCCCCAGCCCCTGGCTTGGCCAGAGACCCTCCTGAGCAGCTGAGCTTTCCTTAGAAGGGAGGTGCCCCGATGGGACTGCGGTTATCAGCACGCACTTGAACATGCGGGTCCATCTCCAGGACAGGGGTCTCCAATAAGGAGGCCAAATGCAGCCTCTGCCCAAGGGTGCCATTAGTGCTGCCCCCACTCATCCCACTGACTGACTCGAGCCCTCCTGGGCAGCCTGGCCTGGCCCCGGCACTCTAGGAAGACCAATGCCCACCACTTTTCTAGGCCCAGCTGCACAATGCAGAGTGACTGCTAAGATAGTCCTGGAGGAGTCTCTGGCAGCAGCAAGAAGGCACGGGGGCTGCCTGGGGGTCTTCCCTCTGTGTCCCTCCTACTTCTCATGACCATGACCCTGAGGGTTTTCTTCCTGGGGACACGTCTGGCAGGCTTTGCATAGCAGGGGGCCGAGGCAGAGACTGCGGCAGGACAAGACGCTGCAGGGAGGCCCTTTGGAGCTAGCTCAGCTGGATTTCCAAGAGATGGAGCACATATGGACAAAAGTTCTTCAGGGTCCTCCATAATTTTTTAAGAGTTTTAAGGATTCTGGGACCAGAAAGTTTGGGAACCTCTGCCTTAGAGCAAGACCACAGCCTCTGGGAGGGGTTGTCCAGGCTGTCCGGGGGCTCCCCCTTGCCTCCTCAGTAGGCCGGGGCAGTTTTCCTCTGCTGACCAGGTTCTCTAAATACCCTGCCCTCTGACTACCGATGGGCCCACGTGTCTGCCTAGCAGGGGCAACAGCAGCCCCTGGGTTTGGGACAGTGCTCACCACCTTGGGGACAATATTTCTGGAGGAGGCAGGCCTGAGGGGCCTGATCCAGGGCCCAACAGCTTTTCTCTGCCCTTCCAAAGGCCTGGCAAGGGCCGTGTTTTTAAAGGGACAGAAACTAGCTCCCCCCTTTTCCTTTGGTTGGCCTCCATGGGCAGCTGCTTCTAGGAAGGCTTGGATAGGGCTAGTCTGCCTGCCTATCTTTCCTCTCTATGGCCCATGCCACAAGCCTCCCAAGATGGACTCACTTTTCGAGCAGGGCCAGGGCTGTCACTGGGTTGACACGCAGATATTTGCAAGTAGGTTGGCCATAGTCAGCGAGGTACGTTGACCAGTCCCATTGGGTGAACAGATCCAAAAGCTGCAAAACACGCAAGGCCCGGGGGTTAATCACAAGTGATTATAACAATAATCTCTCCAGCCTCCCTGCGACCAGCGGCCAGGACCAGCAGTGACGTTAGCTCACAGAGAGCACCCTCCGGTCATCAAAGGAGGACGACTGTGAAGTTGGCAGGACCGGGTTATCACTGCCATTGGGAGAACGTCCCCAGTGCCGAGCACACAGTAGGTGCTTCACAAGCGCCAGATGACTTGTCTGGAGAGAGGTAAGGATCAAAGAACGACAGCAACAGATTCCTCGACTGGAATCCAGATGTGCGTCCCCCTAGGGGTTAATGCAGTAGGTCTGGAGGCACGGATACCGCGCGCACTCCCTGGGGCTTTGGGCTGTCACTGAGCCTCTTTGGAGCCCAGTTTCTTCATCTGTAAAATGAGTGTTCGACTAGATGACCTCTGAGACCCTTTCTACCTCTGAATCTAAGATCTTATGAACCAGCAGGTTGTGGGCCCTCAGGAGCATGTATGCTCTTTAAGGCAAGTAGGGGCAAGTAGGAAGGAAGGCACCAAGGAAGGAAGGGGGGAGGAGAGGAGAGGAAGGAGGGGGGAAGTGAGGAAGGGAAGTAAGAAGGAAGAAAGAGAGAGGAGGGAGGGAAGGAGGTAAAGAAGAATTTAGCAAGCACCTACTATGTGTCAGGCACTGTGCTAAACAATATCATCTCATTTAATTCTCACAACAGCCATGTAAGGTAGGTACTATTATTATCCCTATTTTACAGATGAGGAAACTGAGGCAACCAGGGGTCAAGTGAGTTACCTAGAGTCACACAGTTAGTAAGTTTTTGAGGCTGGATTGGAACTCAGGTCTTCCTGAGTCCTGGCCCTGTGTTCCATCCAAGTCATCTAGCTGCCTCTAATACCAAATGAAGTCTAAACTTGAAAACATTTACTTATTTTTTTTTTATTGATGCCTCTTGTCTTTACATCATAACTATTTCAATTCTCCCCCTGCTGAGATTGAATCATCTCGTCACAAAGCAAAACAATAACGCAAAAAACCTCCAAATGGGTACATGACAGAAATTCACAATTTCTTATACATCTTTCCTGCTCTTTTAAAATACTGAAATATTGAAGTTTCTTGATGATTGTTAAGTTCACAATAAAAAGAATTTAAATTAACAAAACCATTAGTAATTCTGACAATGTATATACAACACACTATCCTAGCAATTCCCTGCCAATCTAAGAACACTTCAAGAAGAAATACAATCTCACAAGAAGAATTGTAAATTATTAACAACCATGTGAAAGAATGTTCCCAACTGCTAATATTAGGAGAAATGCAAATTAAAATGACTCTTTGAATTTCTGCCACCTATCCAGCAAATTGGCAAAGACAACAGAAGTAGGGAATAGCCAGTGTTGGAGGGATTATGGAAAGATGAGCCCACTGTGAGTTGGTCCAACCACTCTGGAAATCCATTTGAAATTATTCTAAGAAAATGGTTACAATGTCCATAACCTTCTTTTGACCCAGGGATTGCAATGCTAGGCATATAGCTCAAAGATGTCAATGATAAAAAAGAAAGGCCTTATATACACCAAAATATTTATAGCAGAACATTTTGTATAGCAAACACACAGGCTTTGTTTAGAAAATCAAAAATAGAGGTCCACTGACTAGGGAATGGTTAAAAAAGTTATTATGAATGTAACAGAATACTACCATGATGACATGAAATGAAGAATATGATGAATTTATTTTCTTCACATTAAACATTTTTCATTCAATTTTATTTTATTTTAAATTTTGAATTCTCTCCCTCTTTCTTCTCTCCCACCTATTGAGAAGGCAAGGAAAAACCAAAGCCATTACAAATACGTAGAGTTATGTATAAAAAAATTCTGCAGTAGCCATGTTTGAAAAAAGAAAGGAAGGAAAATATGCTTTAATCTGTCCTCACAGGCTATTGCTTCCCTGTCCAGAGCCCAGCAGCAGGTTTCATCACGAGTCCTTTGGAACAGATACTATCACTTGCTCAGTCATTCCCCAATGGAGGGGCATCCCCTAAGTTTCCAATGCTTAGCCACCACAAAAAGAGCCACTATGGATATTTTTGTATGTATGGGTCCTCTACCTCTTTCTCTGATCTCTTTGAGTAGTAGCACAAATGATTTCCATTGTAGGAACACAGAAAATAGCTAGGAGTCACTCAGCAGGACTTTGACACGTCCCATTATGGGCACCAGCCCACACCTACCATGCCAGGGGTCCTGGTTTTATCAGCTGCTTCTCACCCAGAGAAGGGCAGGAGAATCTGGGGCCGGGGCTAGCTTTTCCCAGGATGAAGTCACAGCACACATCAGGCATTGACATAGCCTTGAAACAGGAGGTGGCACCCAACGTGCTTTGTCAACAAAAAGCTCAACTAAGAGGGCTTCCCCCAAAGTGGTCCCACAAAGGGCCTCTTGGAATCCTCCACCTGAACTGAATAATTCAGACTCTTATTCCTGACCTCATCTCTGCCCCTTGGCTTCTTTCAAATACCAGCTAAAATCCTACCTCCTACGAAGCCTTTCCTGATCCTCCTTAATGTCAGTGCCTTCCTTGTGTTGATTATCTCCAATTACCCTGTCAATAGCTTGTTTGTAAATAATTGTTTCCGTGTTTGCTCCTCTATTCCACTGTGAGCTTGATACCAGGGACTGTTTTTTGTCTTTCTATGTATTCTCGGTGTTTAGCACAGTACCTGGCACAGAGCAGGCCCTTAATACACTGACTTATAGACCAGACAGAGTCAGAAATCGTCAAATGAAGCAGCCATCTCTGTTACAGAAAGCCTCTGTACAATTCGATCTTAGGCGTCATCTGATCCAACCGCTTGTCTCTAGAGAAGAGGAAATTGGGAAGATCCAAGAAGGGACAGTATCCCAGACGCAGATGCCAAGACAAGAGAAGGCGTCTAGGAGGCTAGGAGAAGAGGGCGGTCAACAGCAGTCAAAAGCTATGTAAAAGTTAAGAATAATGACGATTGAGAAAAGGCTACCTGATTCAGCAGTCAGGAGATCACGGACGACTTTGAGAGAGCTGCTCCAGTACAGGGACAGACTGGGGTGGGGAAAGGGAGTAACATTTACACAGCACATGCTACGTGCTTGCTAAACGCCTACCAAAGTCTCATCTGATCCTCACCACAAGCTTGGGAGGTAGGTGCTGTTGTTGTCCTTATTAGATACGATTGAGGAAACTGAGGAAAGCAAGGCGCAGTGACTTGCTCAAAGTCATACAACTTAGGTCTTTCTGACTCTCCAGTATTCTATATGCTGTCACCTAGTTCCCTGACGGGTGAGCTCAGAAGTCAGATTACAAAAGGGCCGAGATGAGTGTTTGGTGAAGAAGTAGTAGCAGGTAGTGAAGACCACCCTCTCTAATGGGAGTTTATGAAAGCTTGAGAGGATGGCAGAATCAAGTGAAGGATTTTTTTTTTTTTAGGCAATTGGGGTTAAGTGACTTGCCCAGGGTCACACAGCTAGTAAGTGTCAAGTGTTTGGTCTGAGGCCGGATTTGAACTCAGGTCCTCCTGACTTCAGGGCCAGTGCTCTATCCACTGTGCCACCTAGCTGCCCCAGGGTTTTTTTTTTTAAAAGGATGGGGTAGTGACCAAGGGACGTCTATAGAGAATAAGGAAGGAGCCAGTGGAGAAGGACAGACAGAGGAGATCTGACCAAAGACACAAGTAAGAGGGATTAGCTTTGGTAGGAGAAGGGACACCCTACCCCCGAGACTGGAACAAAGGAGTGCAAACACTTAAGGGAGGAAGGAAGGGAGATGGAAGAATTCTTAATGGATGGCTTGACTTGGCTTTTTTTTTTAATAAATAAAGTAGGAGGTGAGGTCATCTGCTGAGAGGAAAGGATAGGGGTAATATAGGGGGCTTAAAGAGAAGGCCTGGAATAGCTGAACTCCTGTGGAAGAGTTGAGAGAGTGACACACAATGAGATAGCACGTGTAAAGCACTTAGCACAGTGCCTGGTGCACGGACTGCTATAGAAATGTGAGTTACTGCTGCTGTTGTAATTCTTTCCCCTGGCCTGCTTTCTTGCATTCCTGTCCTGGAATTTCTTTGTGCTCTCGGACTCGGACTCTTCTTCCCTGAAGAATGTTCCCTCAAACTTCTTGGGTCATGGTTCTGGAAGGAGACAGTTTAATGGTCATACCCTTGCTGGTTAAATCTTTCTGAGCTCTATGAGTGGTGACTCACCAGGGTGTATCTTGTGGAGGGGGTACATCTCACAGGTTGATAATGGTAAAGTCCTATGTGAGTAACCCAAATTCATTCCTGGAATGTTTGGGCCTGACAGGGACTTTGATACATCATCCCTGGGGCCAAGAAAGGGAGTCCTCCAGCCCAGTGTACCGCACAGGAGTAGGGGAAGAAGGATGGATTCTCACCTTCCGGAGGATGGCTACACTAAGGGACTCCCTGGACCACTCGATGATGTGGACTCCATCCATGGACTCCATCAGGTCTTTCTTGGACCCGAGGAAATGGGAATCTTAGCCCTAACCATGCCAAGCCTCCAACACTCTCCTGCAGACAGGCCCCACCCCCAAGCTTCATTGTCTTTGACATGGATCTAAGAGGTAGGGAAGGGCAGAGCTTGTTATCCAATCACACAGATCAGAAAAGGGAGGCCCAGAGAGAAAACATGTCTGATCTACGGTCACACGGCTACTTCAGGAAGGGCTGGCGGTCTCAGCCAAGGGTGCCTTCCCACTCTATTCTGCTGCTCCCCTTCAGCTGAAAAAACACCACCTGGTGACTAAAAGGTGCTGCACAATGTTTGGGCAACCACAAGCACCTCATGGGAGGAGAAAAGACAGAGTCTGAGCACTCACAAGCGCTTGGGGTCCAGGCTGCACTGGAGCCCTCTACACCTCTGCATGACCTCTGGGGATGACTCATGACAACCCTCCACCTTTGGGGTTCCAGGCATCACAGATAATCCTACTGGGGCTAA